ACATTACATTGATGAATTGGAGCTAGTTCTGTGTCACCCTATGTTATGACTGTTACATGATGAACCGCATCCGGCATAATTATCCATCACTGATCTGGTGCCTACGAGTTTTCCATATACTGGTTCTCGCTTATTTACTTTCCCGCTGCTACTGTTACAATCACTACAAAATACCAAAAACATTACTTTTGCTGTCTTTACTTTTGTTGCCGCTACTATCACTATCATATTACTTTGCTACTAAACACTTTGTTGTAGAGACTAAGTTTCCAGGTGTGGTTGAATTGACAACTCAGCTGCTAATACTTGAGAATATTCTTTGGCTCCCCTTGTGTCGAATCAATAAATTTGGGTTGAATACTCTACCCTCGAAAGTTGTTGCGATCCCCTATACATGTGGGTTATCAACGTTTCTGTCATCGATGAACCTTGCCAATAATGATCTGTCAGGAACCATCCCTGAAGAGTTGGGTAAGCTCCCAAACCTCCATACGCTGAATCTTGCCAATAATAGTCTGACCGGTGGTATCCCTCTCTCATTGAACAATTGTTCCTCACTCAGCACACTTATACTGTCTCGTAATAACCTCTCCGGAGTGATCCCCTCTCCTTTGTTTGATAATTCATCTAAGCTTTCTATGGTTGATCTCCAGATGAATTCTTTCACCGGTCTAGTACCACACTTCTGTAATGTAACATCACTCAAATTTCTTTGCCTGACAGAGAACTTCCTCTCTAGAAGCACCTCCTTCAATAGGAAATGTTTCTTCCCTAATATCTATATTGCTCGGCCAAAATAAGGTATCAGGATTAATTCAAGAAACTATAGGTCACACTACAAAACTACTTGAGCTTGACCTAAGTTTCAACAGTTTATCAGATAATGTCTCTGTTTCTCTTTATAACATGTCATCACTCAAAAACTTTAGTGTTGGCAGCAATGTCCTTGTTGGATAGTTACCATCTAACATTGGTTACTCGCTACCAAACCTCCAGTCCCTAATCCTGGGAAGCAACAGTCTGGAGGGCCTGATCCCTGCTTCACTAGCCAACATGTTAAATCTTCAAATACTTGATCTTTCAAACAACTCATTACATGGCTCTGTGTCATCTCTTGGTTCGTAGGCAAACTTGCGTCAGTTAGTTTTAGGGGGGAACTTGCTAGAAGCACATGATTGGTCATTTCTTACATCTCTGGCCAGTTGCACCTAGCTGACAAAGTTGTCCTTGGAAGGGAATGCTCTAAATGGCAGCTTACCTATAGCAGTTGTTAATCTTTCCACAGCACTAGAAGGTTTATCACTTGCGTCAAACCAAATTTCGGGCTCCATACCTGTTGAGATTAGCAATCTTGTTAATCTCACTTCGCTTAGGATGGAAAACTTTCTTTCTGGAAGCATACCTTCTACCATTGGGAAACTGCAATACCTATATATCCTAAGTCTATCAAACAATAAATTATCGGGTCTGATCCCTCCCTCGGTTGGTGACGTTACTCAACTAGGCAAGCTTTATCTTGGTGATAACAAGTTGACTGGTAACATACCTGGTAGTTTAGGTCAGTGCAAGGGACTTCTTGAACTCAACTTGTCTTGAAACAATCTCAATGGGACAATACCAGTCGAACTCTTTGCTAACCCTCCATTTTCCTTCGGCCTGGACTTCTCACACAACAATCTCACTGGGAGACTGCCATTGGAACTTGGTACACATGGTGCTGGTGATGGTCCAACATCCCTTCACATGGAAGGAAACAAGTTTCATGGACAAATTCCAGCAGAATGGCAGTTAGCATCAACTGGATCTATCCTACAACAACTTGGAAGGGGAAATTCCTAGAAGTGGGATCTTTGGGAATTCTGCCGCAATAGTTTTGGATGGAAACAAGGGACTCTGTTCAAATTCCCCGAGTCTAGCATTGCCAATTTGTCCTGGCATCTCATCTTCAGCAACTAAAACAAAGCACCGTCTGTCCTTGCTGGCAACCTTGCTGCTAATTGTACTACCATCACTTACTATTTCTTTCCTAGTATTGTCATAGCTTCTGTTCACTCTTTGGGAGAGAGGGGTACTGTCCATTCTTTGGAAGAAAGTGGTTTTATCATTTTCACCATCGGATGTTTTGTCAAAGATGTTTCGCTTTTTTGCCCATCTCAAGCAAAGAGAAGTGCATACATTTTCGTCCAATGAGGAGAAGCTATAAAGAGTGTCATACCTTGACATCCTTCAAGCTACTGATTGGTTTTCACCAAACCACAAAATAAGCTCAACCTGCACTGGATCAGTCTATGTTGGGAGGTTCAAGTTTGAGAATGATTTAGTGGCTATCAAAGTATTCAACCTGAATGAACCTGGTGCCAATGAAAGTTTCTTTGCCGAGTGCCAAGTGCTACGGAGCACACGCCATCGAAACATTCTCAAGTGTGTGACCTCATGCTCGACGTTGGACACAGAAAGCAATGAGTTCAAAGCACTAGTCTACCAGTTCATGGCTAATGGCAGCCTTGAAAGATGGCTTCACCCTAAGCAACACAATGGCACACCAAGTAGAACCCTAAGCTTAGGGATGAGGATATGCATAGCCGTGGATGTGGCCTCTGCTCTCGATTATCTTCACAACGAACCGACGCCATCTTTGATGCATTGTGATTTGAAGCCAAGCAACATTCTTTTAGATTATGATATGACTGCACGTATTGGCAACTTCGGTTCATCAAAGTTTCTGTCGCCAGTTTGGGTAGTCTGGAACACTTGATCAGTTTCCGAGGAACAATTGGATACATGGCACCTAGTAAGTTTATTTTTCATTAATGCACTTATCCATGGTTTATCTTGTATGTAAGTACATCATGTTGCTTTTGCAGAGTACGGAATAGGTTGCCAGATCTCAGTAGGAGGTGATGTCTATAGTTTCGGAGTGATTCTACTGGAGTTGCTTACTGGTAAATGACCAACCGATGATATGTTCGTGGATGGGCTTAGCCTTTGTAAGTTTTGTGAATCCATGTTCCCAGACAGAGTTGCAGAGATTCTAGATCCTCATATGGCGCATGAGGAGCATCAGTCGAAGAAGTGGACGCGGAAGCATGGATGCAACGATCTATTGTCCTGCTGGTTGCCCTAGGGCTGTCATGTACCGCGGATTCTCCGAAGAATAGGCCTGGAATGAAGGATGTTTATGCAAAACTATCTTCTATCAGAAGCTCTTTTCTGGAACGTCGTCATGATTGATGAATATATCAATTATGTTAGGGCGTACTAAATCGTCATTGTTAAGAATGTATTTTTGTAATTAGCAGAGTGTGTTTGCATCATGTACCCTATCTATTTGACGAAACTAAAACATATAGCAAGTGTCCGTCTCCCATTGTAGAGGAGGAAGCTGGTGTTGCACATCACCTGCTTGCTGTAGTGCGCTGCTCATATTCTTGTTAGAATTCAAGAAAGGACCTGCTTAAAGCTTCGCCACTTCCTCTTTTCCTTCCTCTCATTGGTCATCAAGGCCGGGCCGGAGGAGGTGCACACCTGGAGCAGCGGAGGAGCGGAGCCGCCTAAGTGCAGCTGCCCCGAATCGAGGTACTACTTTGACATCCTTGCCTCTTCTAGCTTGTTTTGCAGCTATACATGGTCTCAAGTCTCAACCAAACATTCAGCACCTGTTTGCTCTTCCCGTCTTGCATCAAGCTACGTGGAGGGGGCTGTTGTTGCACATCACATGTTTGTTCTAATGCCCTGCGCATGTTCTTGTCAAAACCAAGGATTGTTGCTTAACAACGTCCAGTACTTCTTGTTAACATTAGCGCCTTCTGTCATTCCCGCGACCAGTTTGTTTCTTTCCATCGGTCAAGAGATCAATGGGAGATTTACTCCCTCTGGTGTTGTTGTCGCTGCCCATCACGTGTTTGTTTCAATGCCCTGCCCTTGTTCTTGGTAAAAATTAAGGATAGTTAGTTGCTTAACAACGTCTAGTACTTCTTGCTAAGTGTTTACATTAGTTTGGTCAAGAGATGGAAGATAGACTGGATGTCTGAATCCAACTTCTGTGGATCTCTGTCTACATAACTAAAAGCGTTCAGTAGAGTTATGTGGCCGGGTAACTCTTGAGTCTTGACCGATCTGCAGTAAACGTGTATCAGGCCCTCAACTGAACCGAAAACGGGTTTGGCAGTAGCGCATCATAATGTAGGCAAAGTACTAAGTGCTGATGTACCAGCTTCATGAATCAGTCTCTGCACGCCTTTTTCTCTCCGCTTTTTTGTCGAGTCGCCGTCTCATTTCTCATCCACTTTTTGTTCTGCCACTGAGGAGTGTTGGTCTGTGACGCGTGACGAAGATTACATGCAAGTCAACACCAAGTCAAGTATAGGTCCCAGAAAAGAAAACACCCGGTCAACTAGTCAGGTGTGCAAGTCTACTTAGGGCGACACATATAACACAAGGAAAATCGCACAAGATGCACTGCATTAGACATGGCACCTGCAATAACTCTGCGCTCTCTTTCTCCGCATGGCATCCTCGTTCTCTTCACCCATCTTCTCATATTGTTCTTGTCCAACACCGTCGCAGAATCCATCAGCAACGGGTCCGAGGTCGACCTGCAGGCCCTCCTCTCCTTCAAGTCCAGCATCTCCAGTGATCCGCGTGGTGTCCTGTCATCATGGAGCACCTCGACCAGCTTCTGCAGCTGGAGTGGTGTCACCTGCGGTATTACTCTTCCAACTCGTGTGGTCTCGCTGAACTTGAACTCTAGACAACTTAGTGGTCAGTTATCTCCTTGGATAGCTAATCTTACGTCACTAGAACGGTTAGACCTTTCAGAAAATCTCTTCTCTGGAGGCATTCCAGAGGAGTTAGGCACACTTCAACAGCTACAGTTTATGATCCTTTCAATGAATAACCTTGTAGGTACCATTCCTAGATCATTAGGCACTAGTAGATCTCTTAAAAGTGTTGATCTCTCATTAAACCAGCTTGTCGGCCCTATCCTAGATTTCCATAAGATGTCAGCCCTTCAATTTCTTGATCTTTCAAGTAACAACCTTTCTGGAAGCATACCTTCATCATTGGGAAATGTTTCTTCTCTCACATATATACGTCTTGACACAAACATGTTATCGGGTTCAGTTCCAGAGACTCTGAGCCTTATTCAGAACCTTAGGGCATCTTCAATGCAAGGCGCTTGCATAGGCGCTAATGGATAAAAATTTAAATACCGTAAAATAAAAAGACTGGTTAGTGTTTTCTCGCCCAACGCTGGGCTCTAATGACAGGCGCTAATCAATCGCTAAACTAACCGTAAGACAGATCGCTAGCACATCGCTCCAAACTATCTTGAGAAAAAAAAGGCTAAGCGTCCGCCTCCAGCTGTTGCGTCGACACCGAGTAGGACGCCAGGATTTGTTCACGTAACTGCCGATACGGCAGGATACGAATCCTAGCGCCGGCTCCTGGCGCCCCCCGTTGTACGTGCCCTTAGTATGCTCAGTTTAAGTAACAACTACCTATCAGGGCACGTCTCCACCAAACTCTGTAACATGCCGTCACTCATTTATCTTGGACTAGACCAAAATAACCTTACTGGACGAGTACCATCTTGCATTGGAAACATGTTACAGAACCTTGAATTGCTGACCATGTCGGGTAACAAATTTGAGGGATTAATTCCATCATCACCAGCAAATGCGTCGAACCTCCAATATATTGATCTTGGACACAACTTACTAAAGGGACGAATCCCATCTCTAGGATCTCTATGTAACTTAACCTTTCTAAATTTAGGAAATAACTTCCTACAAGCTGAAGATTGGGAATTCCTTGTCTCTTTGACAAACTGTGCGCAACTTAAAACATTGGATCTGGATGGAAATGCCCTGAATGGAAATATCCATATATCAGTTGGAAATCTTTCTAGAAGTTTAGTGTGTTTAATTCTTGGAAACAATCAAATTGTCGGCACAATACCACTTGAGATGTTTAACCTTCGAAGCCTCCAAATGCTTGCTATGGGCCAAAACTTGCTTTCCGATGTTATTCCCTCTCTTATTGGGAATCTAGGCCATCTGATTGTCCTAAACCTATCAGGAAACAAATTTTCTGGCCAGATCCCATCTACAATAGGTAATCTTTCTCGGCTGAACAAGCTTTATCTACACAACAATGAGTTGACTGGGAACATCCCAGCAACTTTAGGAAATTGCAATCAACTGTATATGCTAGAAGTATCTTTTAACAGCCTTAAAGGACCAATACCAAGTGAACTCTTCAGTGGCACAACCCTGATCAGTTTGGATTTGTCAAACAACTACCTTACAGGATCAATACCACTACAAATTGGTGGATTGATTCAACTTCTCCGACTCGATATTTCCTTTAACAAATTGTCTGGTCAAGTTCCACTTTCATTTGGCGAATGCGTTGAACTATCTTCTCTCAGATTGAGAAGTAACATGCTTAATGGAAACATACCTCGATCATTCAATAACCTGAAGTCCATCGAGCGGATTGATCTTTCCCAGAACTCCCTTGTTGGAAAAATTCCAGAGTTCTTTGCAAACATGGATTATTTGTAGCAACTTGATCTGTCTATGAACTACTTTGAAGGGCCGATTCCAACTGGTGGCATCTTTCAGAATCATAGTGCGGTAAACTTGGAAGGCAATGATGAGCTTTGTGCAAGTGCAGCAACCACCTTATTCTAGTTTCCACTTTGCCCCATGGCATCAGCTGTTGAGAGGAAGAATGCACTCCTATTGGTGAAAATAATTCCTCCCATTGCTATTGCCTTGCTCTCCTTTATATGCTTTGTGGTCACTCTTCTGAAGAGAAGGCAAGCACAAGCAGCTCCATGCTACAAGGAGACATTTTTTTCCAACCGGGCTCGCACCCCTTTCCATTAATTTTGCAATCAACAGAAATACAGTGTTCCAGTAATTTTCCACGACAACAACCCAAAATAAGACTGAAATGGGAGGAGCGAGCTGGAGCATCGACACGAAACCCACCGCAAGAGGACCCTAAAATGGATCAACCGCCATGGGACGAAAACCTGACGGCACTGACTAGCCACTACCCTAACCACAAAGACATAGTGCGAAACCTGAGAGGCTACATAGCCTACTCAGGGTCAGAAAGAGATAATCCTCCAAAATCACAGGTCACTCCAGGACGGGCATCAAACCCCAGTGGACTGGAAAACGAGCAGATTAGCCGATCTGGATCCCATCTCCATCCTTCAAAAGCATCACACCTCGCGAGTGAGACCTGTCCGCCAGAGCTGCTGCCGCATACGCCAACCTCTTCACGCCCGCCTGAAGCTTCGACCTCTCTTCTTCTTTCAGCAGTCCTGCCCAATACAACATAAAAGAGCATGCACTGAAAACAGCCTCCAGTGGAGAACGAGCATTATAATTGTCAAATGTGACTTTATTTCGAAGACACCAGATCCCCCAACACAAAGCAGCAATAATCATCATGTAGAACTTTTTTCCACCTGGGAAAAATTTATATAACCTACCCGCCATCGCCGTGCCTCCCCCGGGGTTCCTTCTTCCCGGGCCCGCAGCCGCAACTCGTCGGATTCGATCCGCAGTTTAGTTAGCGGGGCTAGCCCTCGCTGCGGCGGCTCCCTGTGGCGAGCTACGCCGCCACCCCGGGCGCGTGGGAGACGAGTGAGCAGCATCTCGTAGCATCCGGTAAGTCCTCCAGCAGATTCCCAATCCGCCATGCTGAAATGGATGAGATTCGGTTGTCTGTCTGAAATCCCATTCAGTTAACCAAGCATTTTTCAATCATCAAGCATGATAGCGCAACGCTGACTGAATTGCAATGTAGCATCATTGTTGCTGCAGAGGAAGAAGGGATGCACGAGCGAGCTATCTGGATTTGTTTGTCCGATCTGAGTGGACAAACATCCCGTTTGAAGGGATCTCACTTTCACCACTCGAGACTAGACAGATTCATGGCCTCCTGCTTGAACATTGTCCCGAAAACAATGGTCACACCCTTGCCAAACACCTCCTCAGCTGATGATAATATATCGGACATTGGACTGCAGGGCCTTAGTTGGCCAAGTATGTTTTGTATATAAGGATCCATGGTCTTATCAAACTCCAATTACCAAATGGTACATATAGGAGTTGTTGCATAAAAGGAAGTACCATTGCCACCAGTGATCTTTAAAAGTGATAAACTAAACTCATCACGTTAGGAGAATCCTCTAAACTTAATATAATAGGCTCACTTTATCACTATAAACTTTTTAGTGATGACCAAATAACGAAAACACTTCATTGAATGACGTGTTGTTAAAGAAAATAGCTGCCTCCCCTTCAAGACAGGAAACTATAGACAAGTACCTGAGGTGCCCTGCTGGGAGAAGAATTTGTCAACAATCAAGCACTTGAGCTTGCAAGAATAAATATATGATGTCTATGCTATTATTGGGATAAAATGAATCAAAAAAGCAGCAGAATATGAGAAGGATTTCTTTTCTTAAAGGGTGTATACATTAGAGTGTACCTGCTTGGTAGGCATGAAATCACTGACAAAGAGTTGCCTAGCTCCGATGAGCTTGCAAGCATAATTTGCAATTTCATAGAAGCGGGCATAGCTAGGGGTGAACCACGAGAAGTTAGAGCAATTAATGGGTAGGTATCGTAAACATCCTGAGTGTATCACTGTTGGGGAACGTAGCAGAATTTTAAAATTTTCTACGCATCACCAAGATCAATCTATGGAGTCATCTAGCAACGAGGGAGAGGGGAGTGCATCTACATACCCTTGTAGATCGCGAGCGGAAGCGTTCAAGAGAATGGGGTTGATGGAGTCGTACTCGTCGTGATCCAAATCACCGATGACCTAGCGCCGAACGGACGGCACCTCCGCGTTCAAAACACGTACGGTTGGGAAGACATCTCCTTCTTCTTGATCCAGCAAGGGGGAAGGAGAGGTTGATGGAGATCCAGCAGCACGACGGCGTGGTGGTGGAAGCAACGGTGATCTCGGCAGGGCTTCGCCAAGCTCAGCGAGAGGGAGAGGTGTCACGGGAGGGAGAGGGAGGCGCCAGGGGCTAGGGTGCGGCTGCCCTCCCTCCCCCCCACTATATATAGGACCCCTAGGGGGGGCGCCGGCCCTAGGAGATCCAATCTCCAAGGGGGGTGACTTGCCCCCCAAGCCAAGTGGGGCGCCCCCCACCCCTAGGGTTTCCAACCCTAGGCGCAGGGGGAGGCCCAAGGGGGGCGCACCAGCCCACCAGGGGCTGGTTCCCTTCCCCACTTCAGCCCATGGGGCCCTTCGGGATAGGTGGACCCACCCGGTGGACCCCCGGGACCCTTTCGGTGGTCCGAGTACAATACCGGTGACCCCGAAACTTTCCCGATGGCCGAAACTGGACTTCCTATATATAATTCTTCACCTCCGGACCATTCCGGAACTCCTCGTGACGTCCGGGATCTCATCCAGGACTCCGAACAACTTTAGGGTTACCGCATACTAATATCTCAACAACCCTAGCGTCACCGAACCTTAAGTGTGTAGACCCTACAGGTTCGGGAGACACGCAGACATGACCGAGACGACTCTCCGATCAATAACCAACAGTGGGATCTGGATACCCATGTTGGCTCCCACATGCTCCTCGATTATCTCATCGGATGAACCACGATGTCGAGGATTCAATCAATCCCGTATACACTTCCCTTTGTCAATCGGTACGTTACTCGCCCGAGACTCGATCGTCGGTATCCCAATACCTCGTTCAATCTCGTTACCAGCAAATCACTTTACTCGTACCGCAATGCATGATCCCGTGATCAACCACTTGGTCACATTGAGCTCATTATGATGATGCATTACCGAGTGGGCCCAGAGATACCTCTCTGTCATACAGAGTGACAAATCCCAGTCTCGATTCGTGCCAACCCAATAGACACTTTCGGAGATACCCGTAGTGCACCTTTATAGTCACGCAGTTATGTTGTGACGTTTGGCACACCCAAAGCACTCCTACGGTATCCGGGAGTTGCACAATCTCATGGTCTAAGGAAATGATACTTGACATTCGGAAAAGCTATAGCAAACGAACTACACGATCTTTGAGCTATGCTTAGGATTGGGTCTTGTCCATCACATCATTCTCCTAATGATGTGATCCCGTTATCAATGACATCCAATGTCCATAGTCAGGAAACCACGACTATCTTTTGATCAACGAGCTAGTCAACTAGAGGCTCACTAGGGACGTGTTGTGGTCTATGTATTCGCACATGTATTACGATTTCCGGATAACACAATTATAGCATGAACAATAGACAATTATCATGAACAAGGAAATATAATAATAACCATTTTATTATTGCCTCTAGGGCATATTTCCAACAATCACGGCATTGAAGCAGAAGAAACAGAAATGTTTTCCTTTCTTTCGCATTTGATTTGCATGCCCCCTGTAGCCAATGCCAGTCTTTTTTGCGATCAAATGCACTTGAGCTAGTCACTAAGTAAGGCGAAAACACCAAAAGATGTGCATGTGTCATTAGGTCATTGTATTACTCAACAAAAAGTGAAGTGCCAAACGATGAAGAAGAACACTTGAAACCAGGCACTGAACCCTAAATGCTTCACCTGGCTAACCAGATAGATTACTTCTATCTGCTAGCTTGCCCTAAGAAAAACAACAGTTCCACAGATATCTCCAGTGCTTTTCTATTCGAAACACAAGGGCGCTAAGCAAAGAGAATTTCAATTAACGAACGGTAGGTGCTTTTTCTTCCTTGGCCCATCTCAGTGATTAAAGGTAAAGTGCTTCGGTACATTGGTGCAGGGGAATGCGTACCTACGCCTTTTAACTACCTTGGGGAGAGCGGACTCGCTGATGACCCTCCTTAGGAAACAAATGAAGTGGGTGGATTGGAGTTCGTCTCCGCCAATTAGAGATACGGTGCTGACCCAAGCTGAGTGAGTGAAGGCTCCGGCTTGACCTACTAGTTGTTTGCTATCAATAAATAACTAGCTGACAATATGATATGCTTACTCTCCGAGCACTAAAGCTATCGAGAAGTGATGCAACAAAGGTTGTTGAAGGTAAAAACCGTCAAATAGATAAATCTTAATCGTCAGAACAACGCTGAACCTAACTTGTACAAGAGTTGGTAAGAAAGTGCAAACGTTGAGTAAGAAGTCGCCATAGGGCGGCACAAACAGAAAGAAAGGCTTCTGCCAATCGGAATAGGAATGCGAAATCCCAGTAAAAGGGTGTTCGGTCGAAGATAGGAGGATTCCTTTGATCCATACCGTCATCTGACGGACTTCCTGTTGACTTCGTCAATTGCTCTTTATCGCTTAATAGAAGGGAAATTTCATGAGATAAATGAAAAAATGAATATCAATCAAGAAAAAGCTTAAATAGACACAATTCGTAATAGATACAATTCGTAAGGAAGAACTGATCAAAAGTACGAGGTCAGCATAGGAGATATGATGTGTCGGAGGCAGAAGGCACGGAGAAGTAAAGATCTTCCAAGATAAACCCATTCCGATGCCTATAAAATCAGGTGCACCGCGTCTATACTAC